ACACACACACACACACACACACACACACACACACACACTCATAGTGGGACAATCAGGTCATTCCAAGGTAAAAGGACTTAGATATAGTGAAATATTCATACTTTAGACGAACTGTGTGTGTGTGTGTGTGTGTGTGTATGTGTGTGAAGCTCATGACTGCTACAAGCAGTTCTCCCTAATTGAGGTCTTGATGCCTCAAGGTAAATGCTTAGTAGAAAGACAGAACCTGCATTGTGCTGCATACACACACTTACACACCTACACACACCAACAACAAAGTTGACCTTAAAGAGTAAATAAATAAAAGTTGGATACCAGGCAGTCAGGAATGATTATAATCCAAGTTTTATTTAAATTTTTTTTTTGCTGCTTATCAGTTGTGGGCATGTGATGAAAATGTACTTTAGTTTCACATTTCTGACCAAAATCGGTTGAGTATTATTTTATTTTATTTTGTTTTTTGTTTTATTAGTTTGAGTTTTGAAACTAATTTTAAACAAACTTTCTTAAACCTTAAATACAACAAAGTTTATGAAAAGTGTAAAATATGTACTAGTAGTTAAAATGTGTTTTATTTTCTACAATCATTCTGTTGCAGTGAAAAAGGCTGTTTGAGACGGGTCAAACTGTTTAAACCACAGCAAATTTAACAAACCACTACACTGATACCAGTATAACATTTAGTTTCAGTTTATAGATTTTAACTCTTTAAGATAATAGGTTATGGCTATGTACTGTTCGTTTTTACACTTTGGGTTTCTTATGATGTGGTTGTTGCAAAGTTTTATTTATTATTATCACTTTGATTAATTGTTTAAAATTTAAGTTTTTTGCACAATTTGGAAGACATAAAAATATGAATTGTTCTGATTATGGCCTTCATAACTGGTTGTGCAGGAGCAAAATCTCTACTTGTAGTTGTGGTAAAATATGTCTAGGAGGACTCCTTATTTTATTTTTACTTTCAGTTACAAAGTTTAAAACATTTAGTTTGCAATTCTTTCATTTCTTTTTTGTTTTCTTCCTTAGATTTGTATCATTTTCATTTGAAAGTGTGACCTTTTTTAGTTAACGACTGCAATGAATTGCAGGCGGTCAATTAAGATGCATTGTAACATCCTGGTCTCAGCAACAAAACAAGAACACCACGAATAAAGAGAGGAGAGATGTGTTCTCCTCCCTCCCTACTTTTCACCCACATTCTAATCCCCTAAAAGCACTTACGAGATTGACGCTGTCCGCCTGCCACTGCCCGCCCGTCTACCTCGTTGGTCGCCACGGCAGCTGATTGGAGGAGTCGAGGCTCCTAATTGGATCATGAGGGTGTGATGCAGGCGACAGCAACCACATTATGGGAAGCTGACTTTGTGCAGAGTAACCCTGCCAGGATGACCCTTTTTCTGAGTGTGCAGGTGTGTGAGTGTCGACGTTTCTGCGTGTTTATACTGCCTGACCCCAATGTGACTAAGAGCCTCTGTTTATCAAGACAGGCTGGCTGAGGCGGCAGGAGAGGATAAATTGATGAACAGAGAATAGAAAAGTGGCGAGAGTGGTAAGAGGAGAAAAGTGAGTGAAACTAAGAAAAAGAAAGAGGCAAAATTGAGAGGAGAGAGTAAAACGGGATGAAAAGATGAACACTGGTATGGGCACGGCGATTCTTTTTTCTGGAACTTTTACTTCCTTTCTCTCGGTAGGGGGTAGGGTAGGATTGATGACATGATGCAGTGAATTAATCCCCCTAAACCTTGTGCCTGTGCTGTGTGTGTGTGTGTCTTTCACTTTGGTGCAAAGTGACTGTGTTGTCCGTTACGGTGTAAATTGATAGCGTCACTGCTCTTTGCCGCATTATGCGGTGCGTGGATCCGTACATTCAGTTTCCTAACTGCATTCTATATCACACCATCATGCACACCTGATCCTACAGTCCTGAATGATACACCACCAAGGACTATTTCTAAAGGTTTTCACTTGAAACCACGATAGTGTGGCACAGGCATGCGCTTTCTGTTTCTGATTCCCGACCT